TGAGAGGGCTGCGTAAACCAGTAATTCTAGGATGAGATCGAGACTTTGAGCGAACTGATCTCAATAACTCTTAGTGATAGTACTGGTTATTCTCAAAGAGTTTGTGTAGTAATTACACCCGAAATGGGTAAAAACTCTGAAAATAAGGCTCAGTTTCTAGAAAGTTCTTTTCAGAGTGCACATAGGGAAGAAAGACGAAAACAGTGCTATTATGAGAAGTGATAGAGCATGACATACGTGAAGCAAAAGGACTACTTTTCGACGGGGAAAACAACAAAACAACTGTCTACTTGGCATATTGGATAACAAGCTAACCCATGCAGAACCCTAATTAAAACGAAATGAACGAAAAAGCGGCACATCTGCTGTTCCCCGTGGAAAACCTGGGACTACATCTGCTTTTTTAGAAATGTCCAAACGCCAAATTGACAGCATCATAGCAAATGAGAGCAATTTGAATCCTTAAGCCGGCCTTTTTGCCCTTTAGGAGAGCATAGTAGTAATCAGAGGCGGTGTGAAATTAGGTTGAGCACTGCTGAGAAAAAACGACTACTAATTACCATCCCCTATTCTGACGACATCGCTTTGATGGCGGAGGGTGGGTAGGAACTCCAGGGCAAGCTGCAGGGTTGGCAGAACGTGCTGACGGAGAGTGAGTTCCGGGGTGAACTTACAGAGAGCCAAATTTCTCTGCTTTGAAGAGCGCACACGGGCAAATCGACTGCCTTGGAAATGGTTTGAAAGGGTTGAGGATTTTCTAGACCTGGAGAGTAATCAAGAGTGTACGAGGGCAAGAAGGCACGAATTAATGCGGAGTGGCACCTTTCACGATCAAAGATTCCCCAGGAAGCTCATAGGAAAGGTTTACAGCAGTGATGACCCGTGATGCTCCACGACAGTGAGTACTGGCCCGTAAGTAGAAATCATGGAGGGGAACCTCCCTAAGCTTGAATGAGAGTGTCGAGGTGTTCTCTCTGAAGTCCCGCCAAGATCTCACATCAGACATCAAGATATCATGTCAAAATAAAGCGAGAGCTCAAAGGCTCTTTTCCCTCCAATTCGACGAAGTTACTAATCAGCACAGGACGTGTATGATAGTGTAAACCTACTGGGAAGCTCGAAAGCGGAAGGTTCTAGAACATGCTCGCTTCTGAAGGAAATGAGGAAATGAAGGTGATGAGATACGCCTGCGGTTGGTTGCGACTAGACCGGGTCAGAAATGAAGACGTAAGGACGGTCATCAAATCTCCTGAAGAGGAGGAAGTTGCGGCTGCTGTGGTATGGACACATTCCATGACCGACAGGAGAAGCAGGGTTCACAGCCTAAAGGAACCGGACCAATGGAGTCCATAAGAAGAGGTAGCGGAACGTGATCAAGAAGGTCCTTAATGAAATTGAGGTGACATCAGAAGGTGCTGTAGGTAGAAGGAAATAACGATGGCTAACAAGTACAGCCGACCCTGCCATGGCGGCGTGGAATCACCGCTAGGGAGAAGAGGAAGAAGAAAAAGGATCTGATGGAAAACAAGAGGCCTCAGAGTTTACTAGTACCATAAAACTAATTAAATGGATTGTTATGGCTTTTGATCACATAAACTACTGTAGCCGTCATTGACAGAGGCTTTTTTCAAGGGAATTAAATGCTGTCTGTCAAGGAAAGAGAGAGTAGTAAAAACAACAACTGTACTAAAACCAAAAAGTAATTTCCACGAAAGCTTATTACTTTTTTCTTTAATCTCAGTTCACTGACTGGCTGGACGACGTGTATATCCATAATTTCAGGGGAATTCATTTAACGTAGCCGTAATTCGGCCAAAAAATCCTTGTGCGGAAAACTTCTTCAACTACGCTCGGGAAATTGCACTACACACAAATTGTATTGGTTCGAGTGTAACGACACACTTGAACTTTGTCCTTTCGAGATCAGCCATCCCCCAATTCGACGAAGTTACTAATCAGCATAGGACTTTTATGACTGTGTGAACCTACTGGGAAGCTTGAAAGAGCGGAAGGTTCCAGGTGTGCCATCAGAAGGCCTTGGATAGGCTAAAGAGGGGGTAGGGAAGAGGAGGAAAGAGGAAAATTGGAGGGGAATGAGCAAGGTGGGGCAAGATGGGACCGGAGAGGATGAAGGAAAAGTCAAATGAGGATGAAAAGATAGGAAACTAAGTTCCGCATTCAAATTGGAGGGTGGAGAGGCTGTATCCTAGTGAAACCCCCTCCCATTGCCGTCAGAATTAATTGCCACCCCTGGCTGTTGTTATAGCTTCTGACGATTTCAAATTTTACTGCTCCGACACGAATTGGTGTGTGCAGCTCCATATCCCATTCTTTTACTCCCTGAAGTAGTCTGGGACGCCATAGACACATGACTGGCAGAATGCCGAGGTGTCCAAGTCCTTCCATTCAGTTGTAAACAGAAATAGAAATAAAAATGAGCATGACTAGAAGGTTTATGCTCTATTGGAGAGCAGAGACCAGTAGATAGTCGAAGAAGCTGAATTGCTTTAGATGTGGCCAATTACGACTGGATAATTGAGGGACGCTGCAACGATGAACCGTAGAGCAACGCAAGAGTTCAGGAGGGGCACGTTCATGCCTGCCCATTCAAGCTTCCCCCAGCAATCATGCGCCACCCTCAATCTGATTCCATCCAGGATAGCAGCCCATTCCTCTATGGGATGAATTACGACGATAACATTCGGATGAAAGGATTTGATAAGCTTTGGGTAAAGACAGGAAAGTAGGAATAAAAAGAAAAAGCTGGGAACAACAAAAGGGATGAATCATAGTTTTGTGATTAGCTACATTAGCGGCCCCAACTGAAGACCACCGAGAGAGAAAGATTCCTGTTCTTCTTGAACGCGCCATGCTTTCGCTGTCGTTTAAAAATTGCAACAGGGACCAGCTGACACACAATAGAGACTTTGGCTCATCATAAGAAAAAACAAAGACTCTCCTTTTTTTTCAACAACCAGGACGGATGCTGCGTGTAAAAATCGCTAGGGAAGAAGTTCATTCCAATAATCGAGCTGCTGTTATCAATTTCCCGAGAATTTCCTAGGCGTAAAGACCTTCTAAAATATTTTTGGTTCAAGAAATCTGAGCGATGGGCCCTCCATTCGAGTTCCATTCAGAATCGTAGTGGCGTATTTAACGTTGTGGCTTATACAGTGACTTGCGGTGGCCAGCCGATGCACACGTCAGTGCTTTTATACTCCGAGACCTGTCTGTTACCAATTATACGACCTCGGAGGGGCGGGTAGAAGGCCTGGGCGAGTATCGACCGACCGTTCAATTCCTTGACAAAGCCTTTAATGATACTGTAGTCCGTTAACAGGCCAAGGAAACTGAGGATTGATCTGGAAACTAAAAGCAACTATAGGTAGTTTGTTAGGATATTCAGAATTTGAGAGAATCTTCTTTATCCATTGAGAAAGAAAATGTAATAGTTAAACATGTAAAATAAGTAAAATTTATATGTGTTGCCTTGGCTAGAGAAGTATCTACCTATGCTACTCCTGTGGGGCAACCACATTTTCCAACAATATCATCGTATTCATAATCCCAAGCCACCATGCAGCACAGATGGACATCTTTCCCTACCAGTAATGGAACGAAAATAAGCAACGTTGACTACACCGGCATTGATTGACAAACATATGTACTACACTTGAAACGAAAAAAATTTTTGAAAAAAAAATAAAAAATTTCGTGTAATTTCCATGTTCGCTAGGATTTTTTACCCACGCCTAATTACAGGGGATGAAACTTTTTCAGAGGGGCAGTTCATGATATTTTCAAGGCACTAGTGAAATAGTATAAGTTTTTGTGCAAAATGGTGCAAAATTGGCGAAAAAAGTGCGGTTGTTGGCTGATTTGACGTAATATAAGGCTTCAAAGAAGTAGTAAGAAAAGAGGATTGTACGAAATTATGTGTCTGTAGCCGTCTGGGTGTCTCCAGTAAAGACGTACTATTCGTTGGAATGATGCAACCTGAACGAGGCCGCGATAACTCGGCCACTTCTGGGTGTACACGTCAGCCAAGACGGTTTTAGAGCCCTTATAGCACTCTCACGTGATATCTTCGGGCCACAAGTTCATCCTAGGTGGGACTATCGGAATCAATTTTCATGATGAACTGTGCACTCAGAAAAGAGAGTGAATTTAGCTCCCTGTTGTTTGATTCTTTGCAAATAAAACAGCCTTAAAGAAAGAAAGGACGCCATCTTGTTACTAATGAGAAAGCCAAGTATACGGTAACATCCGGCAGGGCTTTTTCTCTAATTTCCTTTTGATATATATCGGGAAGGTGATTTCAAAACCCTTTCTAACAATCATTGCGTGGTAAATTCCATCTAGCAAGCGAACGCTAATATGAAAATGAATGAAAATGTTCTCATGCGATTTTGTTTTGCCTGAGAAAAGCCCAGAGGCATGATCAGATAATGACTACGGGAAGTCTCGCGCCTGTATAAACGACTAGAAATAACATAGGGGAAGTTTCGAACTTCCCGTAACACTTCTTTGTGTATTGCTCTTCATTTTAATGCTGATTGCCCCTCTTCATTCAACTCTTAAGGGTCGATTGAGGTCCTGTTACTTGAGTTGAGGTCCATTGAGGTTTTATTACTCAAGTTTGAGGACCATATCGCATTTGAGGTCAACGGAGATGTCTAGGAGATGAGTAATCGTGATCTGCGAGCAGAGTTGTGCGAGCCACGGCGCCAAAGGCACTAGCAAGTGCCCATGGGCCGATCACGCCCTCTTACTATATTTGTCTATGTTTATTATTTTTGTTATTTATTCCGTCCAACAGTGGCTATTATTCGGATGACTGGAGAGTTTTCAAAAACAAACATGCCGATCAGGGTACGGAGTTTGAGGAAATGGTCGTGGATCCATCAAATACACGTCTGTATGTCGCCGGAGTTAATTACTTCTACGTTTTGCATTCATCTGACCTTTCGTTACGAGTGAAGCTGTGACGGGACCGATGGATGATTCAGATCAGTGCAAAGGAGGTCGAAATGACAGCTCAAGGACGGTGTCATTTACGAGACCTGCACAACATCACTGATGCACAGGTCGAGTCACCCGAACCTATGCTGGCAAACGGCACGACATCATCAGCAGTAGTTTTTGTCGGTACCGGACCGTCTGGCGATCTGGTACTATACGTAGGGACAACATTTGTCAAAGGGCTGTTGTATCGTGACGACATCCCAGCTGTGTCATCTCTTCGTTTGTCGCGTGGTCGCGATGGCGATACGAAAGAGTTCGAACTGGTTGGTAAAGGACTTGCAACCGGCACGGAGGTCAGCCTAGAAGGGAAATTTCGGAGTAGTTACAGGATTGACTATGTTGGAGGATTCGAATCGGGAAAGTATGCGTATTTTGCTACCAGACAGGGTAAGACCTTAGGAGAAGATGCACCGATTCAGTCGCGTATTGTTCGGGTCTGTACTGGAGATTCGCATTTCTACAGAAGTGATGTTGGAATGTACGAAAGATGACACGGATTATAACTTGATTCAAGACGTATACATAGCGATAGCCGGTTACAATCTTGCGATATCGTTGGGAGTAAGCGAAGGAGACGAAGTACTGTACGCAGTTTTTGTCGCTGACTATTTAACATCTTTCCAACGAAATTTTCCCACTCATCGCGCCGCTGTTTGTATATATCCGACCCAGAAACATATTGAAAAGAAGTTTGAAGAGAATATCATGGATTGCTATAAAGGGTAGTACACAAAGCAACTACCCTGGTTGAAGTTCACAGCCAAATGCAAGACAACGCATCTGGAAAGATGTGGAATGTGGTCAAGATATCGGTGGAGGAAACCAAACTCTGCTGAACCGGTGCTTACTGTGAGTGATGCACGTTTCCGGCGATAGCAGTGAATACCACAAGAGGGCTGACGGTAGCGTTCATTGGCACTGATGATGGAAGACCAATTTTAGCCGACTTGGACTTGAGCGAAAATTGTCAATACGCTTAAATGCTCACGCCTAGGTGAAGTTGCGAAGCTTCCCCTATGTTTTTCCTAGTCGTTTATATAGGCGCGAGGGTATGGATGTACAAAGGGTAAAGAGAAGTGAAGCATATCGACTAGAGGAATGTCATAATTATGGATACAGGTAATGAAAGGAGTTGAAACAAAGAAAATTCGAACCGGAATAGAAACAAGTGGATACAAATGGAAGTAGTGGTTTCTTCAAGGAACATCTGGGAGTGCAGGATCAAAGGGCTTTTCCTGAAAAAACCGTCTGAGATTGAGCGACTTCACGATTTGAAATGATAGAGGGCTTCAGGACGTCATTTATCCCTTGCTCATCGTCCACCATAGTGAGGTTGAAGTCTCACGTCTTTCGACGTGAATTCGAACAGAAACATAGCATTTCCTATGAGATCTACGAAATTTTATCTGGGCAGTGTTTATACTTCCTTGTACCATTCATACTTTCTTCAGAAATGATCAGAGCAACTTTTGCGATTGCAGCTAGTTTTGTTGAAAATTTTCCCAAGACTTTGATCAATTTTTTACAATCCTTACTTCTATGAATAGATCATTTTGGTCTTCATAACCAATGAGGACCTCAATTGAGATGGATGTGGGGTAGTAACAAGTGGCGCGTTGCTGTCCGTATAGTACAGGGATCAAATTCCTGGCTAATATCCGCCTACAACGACCAAGTTTCCGTTTTCCGAGGGAGGAGTCGCTAAATTGTTACAAGAAGGAGGAGGAAGGAATTGTATGAAAGCATGAAAACACTGGCTTATGCAACGACTGTCCCTTTCACTCCCAAAGTGATTGTATAGACTACTTACATCTTCACACGCCTCTGCTATTCTGGAGCGGGATCCATTGCTCAGGCGCAAGCCAGCGGTATTTTAACTAAAGAGCGATTGTGCACAAGTATCAGAGACTTATGGTAGTCATAGAAGGAATCGGCTCCATCGGTGGTAGTAGGCGGTAATTGAGTTGCTATTTTACATGTCTAATCTAAACACAATCCGAAGAAGGTGGGCGATTTTGATGACTGTAGTTTTTTGCTTTTAATTGCGCTTTGTGTTAACCTATTGGTTAACTAGTAATTACAAAGTACAGGTGAGAATGTCACAAGTTGGTGCGAGGTGACAGCCAAAGTACAGGTACATTCCCCAGGGTTTTATGCGTAGTATTTGAGGGCGCGGTAGTCAATTAATGTATCTGGTTGGTCACATTTGTTAGGCTTAATAGCCTAGGGACCATATAAGGAGCTGGAAAGGTCTATATAAGAGGTGAGGGCGGTGCAACTTCCATCTGAATCCCTTCCCACCGAAGGTTTGTTAGTAAGGGTTTGGTTTTCTTGAAATCTGGGCATTTACCGGAAGATAATATCAATCCGCAGGCTTTACGACCGTGCATGTCCTACGGATAACTGTGTTATATGCGCGTCTGGAAAAGACGGAGACTGCACATAGTGAGGGACGGTTTATGTGGTGAGACGGGAAAGATGCTCGGCATACGCGTCAGAAAACATCTGGCAGGAAAATGACGTGGAAATCTCCTAACACCACTTGGAAGGCACCGAGTGGAAGGACTACGAGAATGAGGTCGGTGGGTGACAGAAAGATACTGGAAGCGTTACATATCTACGCGAAAAATCCAAGGCTACAACCGAAATGAGTGCTTAGCCGTAACAAGTGAGCTCTTGTCATTCATTCCCTTTTCTGGGCTTTGACATCACCCACATAATTCTTATCATCAATGGTGTCTCATTGGTCCCTTATTGTTCACATAAAATGGGACGTAATGCTGGTGGAACCGCAGAAGGTTGGTGGTCACTTTGCTGGGAGCTTTTCGGAGTTCGAGTTTCTGCGAGTTGTTGCAGCTAGCCTAACGTGTTTGGGCGCTTGGTCGGGTCGTGTAAGCCACAGATTCGAGGCTTCGAACTATTTTCAGGTCCTGAAGGTCGACGATTCAGTCGAAACGTTGACCAATAAAGCGGTTCAGTCATAACAAACCTGTACGGCAGAGCAGTAAAGATCATTATCTTCAAAAGATTGGAAATATTTCGAGCAATATTTAAGGTCATAAAAAAAGAGAAGTGATGATGAGATAGAATGGAATCAAGGGCCTGATCTGTTGACCACGCACCCGATGTGGATGTTCGAACCTCATAAAATCGTGAACTACGAAAGAAAACGAGTCTTTGTATCGGATCGCTGCGAAAATGTTACGCGATATGAAATGTCATTAACAATAATTCGCTTTGTTGAGCTGACATTCCCTCTTGCTCCTTTACCCTTTTGCTTAGGACTTTGCAAAGCACTTAAGCGAAACAGGAATTGTACCTAGTCCAGATCCCCAAAATGTCAAAACTCTGAATTCCATAAGTATCTGATCCATTCAGAAGAGCAAGAAATAAGCTATAAACATCGTCTGAGTAGCTCTGGACTTCCCTGGCCCTACTACCAAGAGCCTCGAAACCCAGAAGAGCTGTATTTGATACAATGAATGAAGGACTGGGATAAAAGCAAAGTTTTGGCACGGAGAATCACGAAAAAACGTAAATTTATCCACATCTTTGGGTGTCTTTGAATGAACTGATGGACTTTATAACGGGCGAAGGGCCGAACTTTGTCCAGGTTAAAAAAATGTTTGAATATTGACCCCACGAAACTTCAATTTGAACGAGACCCCCTTGGAAGGGGCCAAATCAGCTCCAAACATGACCGGAATTCTTACGAAAAGCTCGTAGAGTCCTTATGATTGTGAAAGATGGCATTCATGCAGTGATCTCTTGAAGAGCTCAAGGATTCAAGGACTGTTTATGAAATGGCGGCTGAAATAAGAACTGTTTTCCACGTACACCCAGTAATTATTAATTAATTACAGCCTTTTACATGAAACTCGTGATGGAATTTGAAATCAAAGGGGTTAGGTCACATACTTGGAATGAGCTGAAGCAGTGCCAATCCGGGAAGAAAGATTGAATTTTGGATTAGATCCAGCCAATACACACTGAGCTAATATCAAGAACGCTCCTCCTTTCACCCTATTGAAAGGAACTGTTTTCAAGAGGGGAGGGGAATGAATCACATTTTGTAAAACTCATTATGAGCTACTGGTACATACTGACTTATTAACATCTCCTACCTCGAGCTGTTCATTAAATATGAAATGAAAGGTATTAGGTAGGATAGAATGGGAGTACGAGACGAGAGGAAAGCTACGTTTACTAACGAAGTTCACAGCTTGTGGGACGGTGGCCAGGTAAGGAGTTAGGGCTCTGTGGGTGTGAAACAAAGGTTCCTGTTAGATTCCATGACCACTGATGGTCAACAAAGTAAAAAAGTTGAAAAGGAGATAAGTAATCGCGGACGTTATCAGTAATTCAGGGCAATCCACCAGAGAATAACTCTTCATAGCTCATTCGAAGAAGGGGAGCCATGTCTTTCCATCGCCGTCGTCCAAGGAGTTATTCAGGGCCCCAATTCCGATTGGTCTGTTTGGCCCCCGTCACTCGGGACCGGAGTCAAGTTAGGGAGTTCCCAGACTTGGGAGGACGACAAGTTAGGAAGGTATCGCAATGGCTAGATATTGTCGTAGACGATGACAATAGCCACTAGAATGGAAGAGCTCACATAGATCGTGCCTGAGACCTCAGAGTGGCGAGGTTCGGAAGGAAAGTTGCCAGGAGTAGTACGAACAGGTGTCTCCTCCTGTGACATAAGTATACATATACTCCAGTGAGTATGAGTATCTCAAGATTTCACGGCTGATTAGGGTTTCTACGGTACTTTCCCGGAAATTCATAGCATTTCTATGAGTTGCACTAGCCGTTAAACAAAAAGAGTCCAAAAAAAGGTATGAAAAAAATCTATTTTTTAATGAGATGCAACAATGGACGGGAAGAAGAGTCTATGCATGCCACTGGCGTCTGAGCATGGCGCCCCGTAGCTCAGCTAATCGTGACAGGACCCTTCCCATCGTCTTTCATTGGAGGTGAAGGGTCCCGATACGATTTAATGACCTAGTCGTGACATCTAGCATTAATGACATGTGCTGACCATATCCCATACGGTGCAGCTAGGATATTTACTTATGCAATTAGGTACTACTCATAACCAAACAAACAAACAAACAAGTTGCATGTTCACAAACAAAAAGAGTATGCAAACTAGGTTATCAAGCAGAGGCAGTGAATGATTGCAGGCTGGAAATATGATCTGAATGGGACGGACATCGAATCTCCCTATCGGATGTTTCCCGTTCAAAGAAAATGTGATACCCTGTTATTTAGGGCAGAAGCACTTGGGATTCGGGAAAATTCCAGTTCAATCATAAAATGCACCGTACAAGTGGCATTTCAAAAGGGCAGGTGTGATTTCAAAATGACCTGATCAGCCACCATTTGCAATGAGAGATGTGCACTTCAAAGTACTAAGAAGTTATCACTTTTTGCCAGATCCAAGTAACTGTGAGGTTGAAAAATTGAAAGAATCAAGGAAAACTTCAAAAGA